CCATATCCTCCCTTAATGTTATTCCTTGCTCGATGGTCTCGTTCCTCCATTTTTTAATTTGATTTTGTTCCTTGTGTACCCTCAAGAAGGTTTCTTCTTTCCATAAATCTGTTCCTAGATCTGAGTCAGCAGGCTTGGGGCATACGTCCCTTTAGAGGATGTCAAAGATCATTCTTTTTGCTTAGTCCTCTTGGCATCTGGTGCTACTTCTCTCCTGATCTTAGGTGGGGCAATGCCAGCGAGAGGATATATTTTCTCAGTTGGTGTGTAGATTATGCTAACGCTGAGTAAGAAACAGGAGTACAACCCAAACATTCAGATGATGGAGGATCTCATTACAGACTGATCAAATGAACAGACTCCGAGTCTGTTTTGGGACGAAGAGATTGAAGAGCTTCAGAGAGACCCCAACTTAATTAACTTACTAATAAAGGGAGGGTTTATAAGTCAAGCAATGTGATGCTTATTTGATTATACCACCACACAAATGCGATCACGCTGGCATTATTGACGTTCCGGTCAATATTATGAGTACTGTGGAGGATTTTCTTGAAGGACAGAAGGAAGATCTGTTACCAAGGCAACAATCCAATAAACAAGATTTGAGTCCAGGCCAAGAAAGTAATTTATGAAAATGCCTAAAACAAGCTCCCCACTTAATACACATGAGGATAAAAGAGAGAGGAAGGAAAATGTAATCGGACTTGCCAGCTTTGTAGCTGTAACTAATTTGATATCGTGAATGAAGTCTGTTTCTTCACCGTCCTATGGTAGACGTATGGAAGAGACACACATTTCACTATCCATCATGAATTGTACATGATAGTCCTTGATTTGCGTCCAAAATTTCTGCTGCTAAGCAAGACAGATATTCGGTGGAGTTTTGATCCATTTTACGACCTGTATTGACGCAGTTGTTGAAGTGAATCACTGCTGTTGTTAAATTAGTAACACTAATTTAAATTTCACTTGTTAAGTGAATCTGGCTTCCTCATTGACTTTGCTTGTCAGAAATTCTGTAAATAGGGATCACATGAGCCTGGGACATTATAACCGTCATAAATACGAGACAGTTGCCAAGGGCCTGAATTTTGATCACATGACCACAGAGATGATGCAATGGTCATAAGTGTGAAAAATGGTTATAAATCACTTTTTTTTCAGTGTCGTAACTTTGAATGATCACTAAACGAATGGTTGTAAGTCCAGGTCTACCTGTAATGTGTTCCAGAAATTCTTTCCAGTATTAATCAAAATCTTTCATCATCTGGATTTGAAACTTCCTTCCCTCCCATCTGCCACTTTTTCTTAAGGTGATAATTCAGTGATAAAATTAATCTTCAGCTTTGATAATAGAAAACAATTATTATTATTATTATTATTATTATTATTATTATTATTATTATTATTATTATTATTATTTTGTGATCTAATGTCAGTTTTGGAATCCACTTGAAACTGAATGACCATGTCGTCTGGTTAAAATAGTGATGCACGTAGTCCTTGTTTAGTGACTGACTCATTTAGTGACGTTCTGCATTTTTGACAGTGATGAAAATTAATTTTGCAACCAATCCTTGTGTTGACCTTTGCAGATCAGTAAAGCAAAGGAAAACTGAAAGAAGATCATAAACACAATTAAGATTTTATTTTGCTTACTCGCATCACTTAACAACTGAGTTGCCAGTCCTAATTGTGGCTGCTAAATAAGGACAATCTGTATGATTTAACATGGAATAATATTAGTGAAGGTCAACATCATATCTGAGCTTCAAACATATGCGCCACCACTAGATGGCAATAAAGAGATTTGTTCTACTCCCATCTATTGGCTCAATGAATCAAACTATGGACTTTGTATATTAGCAATAGCAATAGCACTTAGATTTATATACCACTTTACAGTACTTTACAGCCCTCTCTAAGCGGTTTACAGAGTCAGCATATTGCCCCCAACAATCTGGGTCCTCATTTTACCCACCTCGGAAGGATGGAAGGCTGAGTCAACCTTGAGCCTGGTGAGATTCGAACTGCCAAATTGCAGGCAGCCGGCAGTCAGCAGAAGTAGCCCGCAGTACTGCACTCTAACCACTGCACCATCATGGCATATATATATATTAATTTGATTTATATGCCGCCCTTCTCCGGAGACTCAGGGTGGCTTACACTGCGTTAAGCAATAGCCTTCATACTTTTGTATATTTTATACGAAGTCACAAACTGGGTCCTCAATTTACCTACCTTAGAAGGGATGGAAGGCTGAGTCAACCTTGAGCCTTGGTGAGATTCAAACTTACTTTAATTGTAGACAGCTGGTGTTAAATTACAGTGCTTTTAGTCTGCAGAGCTATCCAGGCTCCTGCAGGCTTATATTTAATAAGCCTTATTTCCTGTAAAATCTATATGAACATACTGCTGCTTCAATTTATTATAGAGGTGTTGGTTCACTGCCCAGCATTTTAAAAATATAGACACCCCCCCTCCCAGATCAATCAAATCACACATTTAATCAGTCAAGAAAATTTTAATTAGTCGACCAAAGTGACATCCCTAAAATTAACACAACACTAATAGATTTGCCAAGAGCCACCGTCTTGCAAGATGCGTTCTGCATCAGATGGACAATGATTCTGCTAATTAATTAACCTATAACAACCAGTTCAGCTTCCAAATTTTGGGGAAAGGTGCATTTGAATTAGTGTGCAAGCAAGCGTCTCCTATAAGGCCAGTGTTTTCATATAGCAAGTCAAGAGCAGCTCGTTTTAATTACCGGCAACATTGTTGGAAAGACAGCCATAATGCAGAACTGTGATTTAAGACAACTGAAGCTTTTCCTAGCCAGCTGTGCATTAGATTCATTTACCTGGCAGGATCTACTTCTGTTTTGATTTAAAGCATCGGAGATGGTTGTGTTGGGCGAGAGGGAGAAAACCCCCCATAAATTGTAAATATTCTTGCGGTGCCCTGAAAGCTATCCAATGCTTGGCTTGAGTCCACTCGATGGCATGCAGTGGAGGATGATATATTGTACTGTATGTAGTCGTAACCATTTGAAGGACACAAATCCAGCATGGTTTACAACTTTATGTACTACTTAAGTCTATTAAGTTTGCTGTTATTCTGTGAATAAGGTCAAATAATTGTTCTTGTGGAAGGAAAGAGAAATGACTTCAGAGATATGTCTGAATGGAGATATGGAGATTCTCATTCATCCAGATCAGGGTTTATTTATTTATTTTATTCATTTATTTTTTTAAAATTTTTATACCGCCCCCTCACCCGAAGGACTCGGGGTGGTGAACAGCCAAAATTAAAAAACATACAATATAAACATTAAAATACTATAAAAACAAAATTAAATTTGTCCCAAAGGTGTTTTTTCAAGGGGCAACTGGAATTTCTTTGTTGTTGCTTGAAGATGTTTCGTTTCTCATCCAAGAAACTTTTTCAGTACTGACTGAATGGTGAGGAATGGAAGGATTTATATTCCTTGCAGTCATTTGATTGAGGGGGAGAGAGATACACCACCACCTGTCCAGTGGTGGGTTTCAATTTTTTTTTTACTACCGGTTATGTGGGTGTGGCTTGGTGGGCGTGGCATGGCTTGGTGGGCGTGGCAGGGGAAGGATAGTGTAAAATCTCCATTCCCTCCCCACTCTAGGGAAAGGATACTGCAAAATCCCCATTTCCTCCTGATCAGCTGGGACTCGGGAGGCAGAGAGGTCGGGGCCAATCAGAGGTGATATTTACCGGTTCTCTGAACTACTCAAAATTTCTACTACCAGTTCTCCAGAACTGGTCAGAACCTGCTGAAACCCACCTCTGCACATGTCTCCTCTTTACAACACAGTCATTTCAGGAGTTCCAAGAGGGTTCCACACACCCATTTGCACTGTGATTCATGTGACTTTGAGGGCACAGATAAACCTCCAACTGGCTTCAACGACTCTCAGAGAGAGCGCTAACAACCAGATGACTGCAAAGAACATAAATCCTTTCATTCCCCACCATTCAGTCAGAACTGAAGAAGCTTCTTGGATAAGAAGTGAAACGTCTTCAAGGAAAACAAAGGAAGTCTAGAAGCCTCTTGAAAAAGCACCTTTCGATTTCGGAGAAATAATATGGTAAAACAATGGACGTAATTTTTAAAAAAATACATAATAACTTAAATATTAAGTAATAGTATTATAAATAAAACAAACAAACAAACAAACAAATAAATACACACACTCTACAGATTTTTAAACCACCCTTTAATATGTTTGGGCATGAGGTGCAGTGAGAAAGTATTTCTTTCACAAATTTTGGGTGGGATTGAGGATTTATTTTGGGGGTAAACAGGCTCACCCAGTTTACCGTTTCTTGCCTGAAATTGGTAGGAAAACACATCACTTAGATCAATATTTTTATTGGGAGGTATTTTAAAGGTCTTAAAGGGTTGCCCCTTAGAAGTTAGAGGAGGGGTCTCCAAACTTGTAGACCGCAACTCCCAGAATTCCTCAGCCAGCCATGCTGGCTGGTGAATTTTGGGAGTTGAAGTCCACAAGTCTCAAAGTTACTAAGTTTGGAGACCCCTGGGTTAGAGGCAGCGGTGGGTTTCAAAAATTTTTTACTACTGGTTCTGTGGGTGTGGCTTGGTGGGTGTGGCATGGCTTGGTGGGCGTGGCATGGCTTGGTGGGTGTGGCAGGGGAAGGATACTGCAAAATCTCCCATTTCCTCCCGATCCGTTGGGACTTGGGAGGCAGAGAATAGATGGGGTGGGGCCAGTCAGAATTTTTACTACCAGTTCTCAAAATTTCTGCTACCAGTTCTCCAGAACTGGTCAGAACCTGCTGAAACCCACTTCTGGTTAGAGGCCAAATAGAAGCGGTGGGATGAGGAAGACTGAAATAAAGAAGATGCCAAAATCAACATGAGGTCATGGCATGCAAAATGAACGAATCCCATTATGTTTATATGGCTAACTAATGCTTTTTTTTTTTTTTAAATATGGCTTAAGGTGAGACGATTCTGCATTCAGCCAGCGTCCAGGACAACATGGTCTTCAGCCGAGTCTTTCAGATCTTGTACCGGAATGAAGAGATTCTCCTCAACGAATCCATGAACTTCTCTGTGCATCTCCTGCTGGATGGTGAGAGGGTGAGATGGTTTTGATTCTCTTAAAGAAGACTCCTCCTCACACATATATGAGCATGAATGAAAATGCATGCATGGTTATAGGTACAGTGGTACCTCAGTACTCATCGTTAATTGGTTCCGGGAGACGTGATGAGTACCAAAAATGTTGAGTACCAATCAAATTTTTCTCATAAGGAATAATGTAGTGAGTCACAAGGCAGCCGATTCCAACAAGTTCTAGCGTATCCGTTGAGTACCAAACAAACAACGATACCGGGACAAAATTTTTGCATCAGAATGCATTGTGTAGCAAATTTGATGAGTTTTAAAGCAGTTGAGTAACAAGGTACCACAGTATACAAGTATACACAGTATACAAGTGTACACAGTATACAAGTGTACACAGTATACAAGGGTCTAGAAAACTTAAAACTATGCCGTCTTCGGTATAACCTAAGCATAGCTCATAAAATTATCTGCTACAATGTCCTACCTGTCAATGAGTACTTCAGCTTCAACCACAACAATACACGAGCACACAATAGATACAAACTTAAAGTGAACTGGTCCAAACTCAATTGCAGAAAATATGACTTCAGCAACAGAGTAGTCAATGCCTGGAATGCACTACCTGACTCTATGGTTTCATCCCCAAATCCCCAAAATTTTACCCTGTCTACTGTTTTTTTGTTTTTTGTTTTGTTTGTTTGTTTGTTTGTTTTTATTTGATTTATATTCCGCCCTTCTCCGGAGACTCAGGGCGGCTTACAATGCGTTAAGCAATAGCCTTCATACTTTTGTATATTTATACAAAGTCAGCTTATTGCCCCCACAAACTGGATCCTCAATTTACCTACCTTAGAAAGGATGGAAGGCTGAGTCAACCTTGAGCCTGGTGAGATTCGAACTTACAGTAATTGCAGACAGCTGGTGTTAATCACAATGCTTTTAGTCTGCTGAGCCACCAGGCCCCTGTTGACCTCACCCCATTCCTAAGAGGTCTGTAAGAGCATCAGCGTGCCTACCGTCTCTGTCCTAATATTTCCTCTACTTGTATCTATTTTATGTATTCAATTCATGGAAGAGGCCATCTGCAGATTGGTGGGATCTACAGTTAGACTGGAGGGAGGTGTTAAGAAGGGAACAAGCTTAGAGTCCTTTCACTACAAAAAGTGGTACAAGTTTCCCCCAGCATCTCTGAAGCCTTATCTGACAGTTCCCAGGGGAATGCAGTTAAGTCTAGAGAGATTCTTGTAACATAAGTGACTAACAATAACGTTTCTGCTTGAGACTGTTTATGGGTGATTCTGGATGCTTGTGTGTGACAGTAGCTCGGAGCTGAATGGGACTCTCTGAAGTTGTTTGTTTGCTTGAAAGACATTTCATTACCCAAGTAGGTAACATCATCAGTATGGGAGCACAACAACCTCCACATATTTGTTACATATGTCTTGTCATTCTGGTTTGGAGTGTATTTGAAACCATTTGGATTGTCCTTATCTCACTTAGTCATAATAGGCGCTTTCATAAATGAATTTCTCCCCTTGCAGGTAGATAGGCCAGTAGTAAGACAAGGGGAGAGAAAAGATGAAAGGAGAAAAGGGACAATTGCTATGAATATAAATATATTGGACTGAATGACATTAGTTTATGTCTAAAAGGTTATTTTAGCCGCACTTAGAATCCCATCATAGTTATTATTGCTTAATGACTTCAGTGCCATTGATTTCAACAAATGGGAACCGCAGCTATCAGACTAGATTAGCTAAATTGAGTGAGATAGCTAGCATCTTGGAATACAGAAATAAATATTCAAAATAATTTCGGGAGTTTAGGAAGTGGGCTGAACATGACAGAATGAAATTTCACAAATGCAGAATTCCTCTTTTAGGAAACAACATTCAAATTCACAGTTACAGGAGGGGAATATGGAGCTTCCTGCACTAACCCTGGTCCTGATCCTGACTAAGTCTCATCTCAAGTACCAGGTCCGGTTCTGAAATACCACATTTTTGGAGGTTTTTGAGAATTTTAACAGGTTCAGCGGAGGGCAGGCATGACGAACTAAACTTGGTTTAGGAATGGCAGAACATGCATGATCCCATTGCTTGTGTGTGTGTGTGTGTGTGTGTGTGTGTGTGTGTGTGTGTGTGTGAGAGAGAGAGAGAGAGAGAGAGAGAGAGAGAGAGAGAGAGAGAGAGAGAGAGAGAGACAGAGACAGAGAGAGAGGAGGGGAGAGAATGAGACAGAGAGAGAGACAGAGAGAGAATGAGAGACAGAGAGAGACAGAGACAGAGAGAGAGATACAGAGAGAGAATGAGAGAGATACAGAGAGAGAGACAGACAGACAGAGAGACAGACAGAGAGAGAGAGAGAGAAGGAGAGAATGAGAGAGAGAGAGAGAGAGAGAGAGAGAGAATGAGAGAAAGAGAGACAGAGAGAGACAGAGAGAGACAGAGAGAGACAGAGAGAGAGACAGAGAGAGAATGAGAGAAAGAGACAGAGAGACAGAGACAGAGAGACAGAGAGAAGAAATGCAGCCATATATTAGGATCATGCATTGCTGAGATAGTTGACTCTTTATGCAATGTGGTCTCCCCATTGCTCCTCATCCCCTTTTTTTCCTCAGAGTTTCAATTTTGGATTATGTATGTCATAACAGTATAATAAAACAAATTAGAATACTTTTTCCAGCAGACGAAAGTTCAGATTTGCCAGCAGGACGTAGAGCAGCACTAGAGGACTTAGAATCTTTTGGTCTTTTAATGACCCCGTAATCCCTTACAATGGGGTGGAGTCAGGGCAACTGAATGGAGCTGAGTGTTTACTGGCCAGATGCCGTTCCTGTCACCAATGCAGAGTTCACAGCAGATAATTACTCATTGTGTCCAGAGAGAGAAATATCTCCTGCTACCTAGGATTGAACTCACAGCCTCCTGAGTATGAGGCGAGAGCTCCACCTCTAGGCCACCGCACCACTCACTAGAGGACTTAGAACGATGAAGAAAAATAGGAAAAATGAAGGCTCTTTCCATAAGTGCTATGACCTTGATTAATAGGACTCCCCTCCACAAATCAGCTGTAACCACCATCTGAAGAAGAAACTACAGGGGATACAAGTGTCCTTGTGTGTAATTCTTTGCTCCATTCAAGAAGAGTTTGTTTGAGAGTTTGAGATTGGTTGCGTTCAAAGGCCCCGTTCCTCAACTAATCTGGGACCTTTTAATCACGGGACAATGTAGACTGAGGGTCTCTGGGCCTCCATCTCAGTAGCCTGCTCTTCAGATTATCAGTTATATTTTCTTGGTGGTAGCTTAGTCCAGATGGCAAGACATATTAGCTAGATAAGAAGCTCATCTGTTTAGGACATGTAGAGGGATAATCTCCCTCAGGCTTCAAATTGGATTTTCTGAACCATCCACAGGGTGTGATAAAATAAGCCTTAGTTGGTTCAATCAAAGTTCTACTGGTGGCATCTGTGTGACATATAAAAGATAGGATTTGATTGTCTCTTTCCCAAAAATAAGACATCTCCTGATAATAAGCCCAATCGGGCTTTTGAGCGCATGTGCTAAAATAAGCCTCCTCTGAAAATAAGCCCTCCCTGAAAATATTTAAACACAGAGCTGGAAATCATGTAAGATGGCAAGAGGAGCCCCATCTTGCTCCATGCGCCCCAAAATAATAAGACCTCCCCGAAAATAAGGCAAGCACTTATATCGGGGTTCAAAAAAATATAAGACAGGGTCTTATTTTCAGGGAAACATATATATATATATATATATATATATATATAAATTTTTAGGCATATTTTTTTCTTTAACATCCATAAGTGCTTAGTGAACAATGTATTGTCTGGGTCAATATACTTTATACACAATACTAATAATTATAATAGTATTTAGATATACATAATCATAATCTTTTAACTTCTAACATTTGTATATACAATGTGTTCTATTATATATCCGTATACATAATACTGTTTTCCCAATTTCTACTTTCTACTCCCTTTTTTAAAACTCTTAATAAAATAACCACCTTATTAGGGAGTATTCTATATTTATCCGTCATCTCTTGCCCTTTTTAGAGTTTCAACTCTTATTGACTTTTTGGTAAATCTTTCATGCTTCTCCATTGGGATTTTGTATCTCCTTACATCACACTTGTTTAATCCAAGTATTTCATCTGCCTCAGCACCTATCTCTTGCTGTTGTATCTTTGTAGCACCCATCCGTAATTCTTTCATCACTTTTGGGAGATCTTTCTCTTTATTCTCTTCTATATTTTGAACTCCAGCTCTCACCTTGATATTATTTTGCCACACCTTGTAGATTGCACTTCATTCATTCATTCATTCATTCATTCATTCATTCATTCATTCATTCATTCAGACAGTCAGTCAGTCAGTCAGTCAGTCAGTCAGTCAGTCACATGTCTGAAATGGTATAGGATCTCCTGCTTAAGCAGGGGGCTGGACTAGAAGATCTCCAATGTCCCTTCCAGCTCTATTCTGATTCTGATTCATCTTCTGTTCACTTCCTCACTCTTCCTTTCTATTTCCTCTCTCCCCTCCTCACTCTTCCCCTTTCTCTTTTTCCAATTGATTCCGATGTCCCAAAGGTGTTTTTTTTCAGGAGGGAAGTAGACTTTCTGGTTTTTCTTTGAAGACGTTTTGCTTCTCATCCAAGAAACTTCTTCAGCTCTGACTGGATGGTGGGAAATGGAAGGATTTATACTCCTTGTTGGCAGTTGATCATTTGCATCCTTTTAGAGAGTCGTTGAGGCTACTTGGAGACTTGTCTGTGTCCTCAGGGCCACCGGAGTAGCTCAAATGTGTAAGGCACCTTCTTGGCTGCAGGATATTTTCTGCCCTGTGTCAACTCCGTAAAAGAATGCACGGGACCAGCTGTCTGCAAGGAATATAAACCCTTCCATCTCCCTACCATCCAGTCAGAGCTGAAAAAGCTTCTTGGATGAGAAGTGAAATATCTTCCAAGAAAAACCAGAAAGTCCAGTTGCCTGCTGAAAAAAAAACACTTTTGGGACAACCATGACCTGAGTGACTGAGAATCTCCATAGACAATTGATTCCAATATTAGCTTTTAATAATAGGGTGTTTTGTTTTGTTTTCTAAAATTGTATTCAGGTGGAAGAAGCATTAAGCGAAGCTGATTTTCAGCTCAAGCTGGACCTGCTTTTTACAGACAGTGAACAACAGTGAGTAGTATGTCTTTTTAAGGTGAAGTGTTATTCTCATGCAACGAAGACTCTGAAAGCATTTTAAAATTAGGAATGAAGCTTTCCTGAACCGCAGTCTGCTTAAACAAATGCATGGAGTGTTAGGTATACACAAAACAGTTATTGGATATAGAGGAAAGAATCATGAAAAGAACATAGAGACCATCCTGTAGATAATCCCCTCTGTTCCGTCAGCATCCTGATGATTCAGTGAAAAGCATGATCACATAAATATTACCACTTTTTTATGGTTTACCTTCCTCTTAACAAGAACACTTTAGGATCATAACCTAGTTTACTGTATGTTGACAGTTTCTAGTAAAATGGCACTATTGGAAGAGAAGGAGAAGAATTAGGGGAGAAGGAGGAAGAGGACAGGGAGAAAAAGGGGGAGAAGGAGAAGAATTGGGGGGAGAAGAACAAGAAGGAGAACAAAACAGAGGAAGGGAAGAAAGAGGCAGAGGATGGAGAAAAAGAGGGAGAAAGAGAAGGAGAAGGAGAAGGAGAAGAAGGAGGACAAGGAGGGGAAGAGTGAGAGAAGGAGGAAGATAAGAAGAGGGAGAGAAGGAGAAGAAGGCCGACAGGGAGAGGAAGAGTAAGAACGAAGAGAAGGAGGATAAGAGGAGGAAGGAGAGAAGAAGAAAGAGAAGGACAAGGAGAAAACAGGGGAGAAGGAGAAGTGCACAAAGTAAATGAAAAGGAAAGGAAAAGATGACTGCAGGAACGGTAGAAGGCAAACCATTTGAGGATTCTCAGGGCAGTATCAAGAAACTGACCCCGTTGTTGCCATAATTACACGGTAGAGAGTTGAGCTGCAACCTCAGAAGTATGACTCACTGCTAAGAGAATAACAGCCCATGATCAAAATTCCACTCACGCCTGAAACTCTGCAGCAGCAACCGTGTTGCAGAGCAAAGCTAACGTCTCATTTTTCTCAACTCTTCCATCCTCTCCTTCCAGGCTGAGAGATGTCCTGACCATCCCGGTAATAAGCAGTCGCACATTGGGGCTCCACTTCCACCCCAGGCAAGGCCTACATCACCACGTCCCTGTCATGTTTGACTACTTCCACCTGTCGGCAGTCACGGTTACTCTGCATGGCTCTCTGGTGGCTTTGAACCAGCCCCTCCTAAGGTACGGTGAACCTTCACTTTGCTAAAGAGACAATGCAAGAGGGCTTTGCAAATCCTTCCGAAGTTATGCGCATCCTTCCCTGATAAATCAGCTCTCTTCAAATCCTTAAATCAGACACGTCTTGATTTCTGGGCATTTATATCTCGGAGGACCTCTCATGGACTATGAATGTTAACATGCTTGCGAAGAAGGCACAGAAGAGACTGTACTTCCTGAGAATGCTCAGGAAGATAAATCTATCTCAGCATCTACTTCTGTCCTACTATCACAGCACCATTGAGAGTGTCCTGACCAGAAGTGGGTATCAGCAGGTTCTGACCAGTTCTGGAGAACCGGTAGTGGAAACTTTGAGTAGTTCGGAGAACCAGTAGTAAAAATTCTGACCGGCCCCACCCCCATCTATTCTCTGCCTCCCAAGTCCCAGCTGATCAGGAGGAAATGGGGATTTTGCAGTAACCTTCCCCTGGATTGGGGGGGGAATGGAGATTTTACAGTATCCTTCCCCTGCCATGCCCACCAAGCCACGCCCACCAAGCCATGCTACGCCTACCACACCACACACACAGAACCGGTAGTAAAAAAATTTGAAATCCACCACTCGTCCTGACATATGGCATTCTTGCATGGTATGGGAGCAGCTCTGCAGTGGACATAAAAGCTCTACAGAGAATCATTAAAACTGCCCCTTCCCAGAACAAATTACAGGGTATAAACTTCAACAATCATAATCAATCCTAGTCTAAACAATTATGACATTCCACATCTCTTGTTTCTTCAATTCCCTAATTACCCGCCTAGCTTTATTACTTAAAGACACACTAAATATCTATATAATCATTCATAACCTATCTGCAATTTCTTATTCCGATATTTATTTTGAATATAATCTATCCATCTTCTCCAGTCTCTTAAATATCTTTCATTTGAATGATCCTTCAAGTACGCCGAGATTTTTGCCATTTCCGCTAGGTTTGTAACTTTCATTGTCCACTCTTGGATTGTAGGTAAATCTTGCTTCTTCCAATATTGTGCCACCAACAGTCTTGCTGCAGTTATTAAATTCAAAATCAATTTGGTCTCTATAACTGTACAATCCATGACTATACCCAAAAGAAACAGCTGTGGTGTAAATTTCAACCTCTTTTTAAGAATATGTTGCATAACATTCTCAGAGACTCTTCCCATCCTGCTTACAATCTTTTTGGACTGTTGCCTTCTGGCAGAAGATACAGAACAATTAAAACTCAGACCACACGTTTTCTGAATAGTTTTTATCCCAGAGCTATAATTGCACTCAACAATGAGCTAAAGGGCCACCATCAGTGAGCTATTGGACAGTATTACTTAGTCTGTTGTGTGGATGTTTGGGTGGTTTAGGGATGGGGAATTTGTGGTGGGTGGGAGTGTGTTTGGGGATTGTTATGTATGTTGGACCTGGTCTTTGGGTGTTAAGTGAATTTCATTGTATGGGTATACTGTGTATACACGTACAATGACAATTTAAAAAAAAATAGAATTTAAATATCCAAAACAAAGTAAAGTGGCCTTGCCCTGCAGCCCATGATGGAAAGAACCGGGAGGAGCTTTAAGAAAAAAAAAAAGGGTAAATGAACCTGGAAAAAGACACGGCTGTTTTAATGATTTGAAGAGAAGTCGTTGCATGCCTACAAATCATTTTTGAAGGACTGGCCCAGATTTGAACATTAATTTTGCACTCTGCACTTTCTGCACTCCAACACAATCCTAGGCTGCATTAACAGAGGGATAGAATCAACAATCACGTGAAATGCTAATACTACTTTAAAAGGGCTTGCTAAGTTCACACTTGGAATACTGCATCCAGTTCTCATTGCCATTATATATAAAAAAAAGATGTGGAGACTCTAGAAAGAGTGCAGAGACGAGCAACATAGTTGATTAGGGGACTGGAAGCTGAAACATATGAAGAAGGGTTGTGGGAATATGTCTTGTCTAATGAAAAGAAGGACTAGGGGAGACATGATAGCAATGTTCCAATATCTCAGGGGCTGCCCCATAGAAGAGGGAGTCAAGCTATTCTCCAAAGCACCTGAAAGTAGGACAAGAAGGAATGGATGGAAACTAATCAAGGAGAGAAGCAACTTAGAACTAAGGAGAAATTTCCTGACAGTTAGAACAATTAATAAGTGGAACAACTTGTCTGCAGAAGTTGTGGATGCTCCAACACTGGAAGTTTTTAAGAAGATGTTGGACAACCTTTTGTCTGAAGTGATGTAGGGTTTCCTGCCTAAGCAGGGGGTTGGACTAGAAGACCCCCAAGGTCCCTTCCCACTCTGTTATTCTATTTTATTCAAAGAAATAAAATAAAACTGTGGGGTTTGCTCCCTGTTTATACACAGTAAGTTCCAGTGGTGGGTTTCAATTTTTTTTTACTACAGGTTCTGTGGGTGTGGCTTGGTGGGTGTGGCATTGCTTGGTGGGCGTGGCTTGGTGGGCGTGGCAGGGGAAGGATACTGTAAATTCTCCATTCCCACCCCACTCCAGGGGAAGATTACTGCAAAATCCCCATTTCCTCCCAATCAGCTGGGACTTGGGAGGCAGAGAATAGATGGGGGCGGGGCCAGTCAGAATTTTTACTACCGGTTCTCCAAACTGCTCAAAATTTCCGCTACCGGTTCTGCAGAACTGGTCAGAACCTGCTGAGACCCACCTCTGGTCAATTCCCCTGCCAGTTTTGGTTAGGTATGGTTTTTCTTGGTGATTCCTTGAGCCAGGAACTGAATCAAGGGTTTAGCTATAGATGTTCTCCTTTGTGGAATACTTCTCGGTTTCTGCTTCTTCCTAAAATAGCTTCACAGGCATATAAAAATAACCAATTATTCCTAGCGCAGAAAGGAAATGAGGGAGATTGTGATTGTAATAATAAAAAAAAATTCGTACCTTCCTGAGCTTTCCACATCTTCTCTTTTTGTTTAGTTTTGTTCGGCCAGGAAAATCTTCCTGGCTTGGTAGAGGCAACTTGGATACGGGACCAGATTTAACTGGGATGTCGCTAGAAAATCTGGTTTTCGGAACAGGCTACTGCAGACCAACAACTTCGGAGGTAAAAAGCTGTGTTGCTTGGAGGTGGGGATGGCCCTCCAAGGCGAACTTGATATTCTGTAGAAAAGGGATGCCAAGCCGTCAATGAATTGCATTTCTTAAAATTACAGTAGTCCTCGATTTACAACAATTTGGGTTTTTTTTAATTTTCTCATAAATATGTCTTAAATGTACATTCTCTTATCCATTGTTAAACATACATATTCTCTTTTAACTTTCATATTAGTTCATTCTTCATCCTAAAAATATTGAGTATACTCGGGGTTGCTTTTCTACCATTCTATCTCCCTTATTTTACAACAATCCTTCTTCTTCTCCTCCTTCTCTCTTTCCCTTCCCTTCCCTCCCTTCTTCTATCCTCTTTTACTTTCTTCTTTCCTCCTCTCTTTCCCCTTCTCTCCTTCCCCTTCCTTTTCCCCACTCCTCCCTTCTAACCTTCTCTCCTACTCTTATTTCCCCTCCCTTTCTTCCCCTCCTTTTCCCTTTCTTCTGTCCCTCTCTCTCTTTCCTCTCTTCTCCCCTCCTCTCTATCCCTCTACTCCTCTTTCCATTGTCTCTCCATTGTTGTATTCATTTTCAATTCAATATTTTCCAAAGTGGTATCCGAGCAACCCCGATTTTCTATTTATATACACTTTCTTTTCAAATTGAAGAGGGAAAAAACCAACGATTTGTTTAGTGACATTTCAATGTTATAATGACACTGAAAAAGTGACTTATGACCATTGTCCATTTTTCACTTATGACCATGGCACCATCCCCATGGTCACATAATCAAAATTAATATGCTTTGACAACTGGCATAAAATTATGATGGTTGCAGAGACCTGGGAGTTTGGAATGATCCCCTTTTGGGGGACAAGCAAATTCAATGGAGAAACCAAATTCACTTAACAACTGTTACTAATTTAACGACTGCAGTGATTCACTCAACAGCTGCGGCAAGAAGGATCATAAAATGGGGCAAAACTCACTTAGCAACTGTCTCACTTAGCAATAGAAATTTTAGGCTCAGTTGTGGTCATAAGTTGAGGACTAGCTATGGTTATTACGCTTTCCTGTTCTCACTGATGAAACTAGGCGATTGATTCAATATTTTTTGTTCTATTGGTTGAGTTGAAGATTGTTACTATTTAGTTCTCAAGGGATGAGTTATTTGCTATTCACTTATCCAAAATATTTGAATATGCAAAGTCCATCCAACCTACAAGGCCAAATTATTTTAGGGATACGTGCTAGATTTCCTCAATGGACATTAACAATTGACTCTGCCACTTATTCTTTTAATATAATTCATTTACAATATATTTATTCTTATGACTTTTATTTCTTTTATCAAGAGCCGTGGTTAGAATGCAGTATTGCAGGCTAATTCTGCCCACTGCCAGCAGTTTGATCCTGACTGGCTCCAGATTGATTCACCCTTCTATTGTTCTTTTGTTGGTAAAACGAGGATCCAAATTTTGCGGGCAATATGCTGACTCTGTAAGCTGCTTAGAGAGGGCTATAAAGTACTGTGAAGTGGTATATAAGTCTAAGTGTTATTTATTTAATGCATGGCATACAATGCCAGGGAAATCTACACATGATAGACATACGATGCAATCCCAATAGCCTGGAATGCTTGTTCATTCTGTTTAGCACTTATACACCTATCCTTGGTGCACAGTGGCACAGTGGTTAGAGTGCAGTACTGCAGTCTACTTCTGCTGACTGCTGGCTGACTGCAATTTGGCAGTTCAAATCTCACCAGGCTCAAGGTTGACTCAGCCTTCCATCCTTCCGAGGTGGATAAAATGAGGACCCAAATTGTTGGGGGCAAAATGCTGACTCTGTAAATTGCTTAGAGAGGGCTGTAAAAGCACTATGAAGCGGTATATAAGTCTAAGTGCTATTGCTATTGTGAGGGATGAACTAGCTTTACACCAGCTAACTGGTGGCTTTCAATTTTCTGGCTCTTCCAAGCTCCTCTGCTGGTTTTCCCTCACCTTGCCCCATTTTCAGTGGTGGGTTGCCCCCGTTCCCATCGGTTCTATAGAACCGGTAGTAAAACCGGCGGGAGGCTCCGCCCACCAACCCTGACATCATTAAAATGCTTCTGCGCACGCGAAGCGAGCAGGCACGGCCCCGCTGCGAACTGGTAGTAAAGGTGAGTAGAACCCAACCCCTGCCCATGTTGCATTGCCTCGCATCCAGCCAGGTCCAGCACCGATTCGCATTTTCACCTATATTCCGCTTCGCTCGCAGCTGGACAAAGAAAAAGGAGGTGGGTGGAATGGAATGCAAGGGTTGGGAAAATAGCATCCAAGCATCATCGGTTCCCATGAGACATTGCTCCCACCTCAAGGACACCCCAAGCAGATGTCCCAGAGTGGTCGGCTGGTTCCCATAACAAAATGAACAGAAGTGATTGACGGATGTAATGGATGTAATGGACTATGGGGAAAAGGGGAATGAATTATGTGTGCTTCTGCGTGGAAAGCCCAGAGCTGGTTTTGCTTCTTCTGTGCCAATGGGGTTTATTCAGTAATGTTTATACCAGTGGTGGGTTGCTCCTGGTTCGGTCCGGTTCGGCCGAGCCGGTAGCGGTGACGATATGACGTCACCGAACAGGTTCTCCCCCCCGCCCCTCCACCCCTCCACATTATTCTTACCTTTGATTTGGTCCCACCCCCAATCGATTGCTGCCTCCTGAGTCCCAGCTAATGACTAGAGGGAAAAAACTGTTTAAACTCTTGCCGTGGGGCTTCAAAGGGCCATCCTACAGCTGATCAGTGTTAAAAGCAAACAAATGAGTCGGGTCGTAAGTGCGAGGACTGGTTGTAAGTGCGAGGACCTTCCAGAAATGACTCTGACCAGCTAGCCACGCCCACCTAGTCACATGACCTCCAAGCCACACCCACAAAATAAGCCACACCCACAGAACCGGTAGTAAAAATATTTAGAACCCACCCCTGGTTTATACTCTTGGTAAAATAATATCTAGGAGTTCGTTTTTTTTTCCTGAATTCAACAACTGGACAGTTCACAACTAGGTTCCGCTCTCTGCACAAACAAACACAGCTAAGGTTTTCCCACCAAAGTGGTCCCCATTTATGTACTCGCAATATTGCATGCTTTCGAACTTCTGGGTGTGCTGGAGCTAGGGATTGAGTGATGGGAGCTCACTCCATCTCACAGAGCTGGGCTCGAACCGCCAGAGTGCAGACCATTTCTGGTTGATAGTTCCAGGGTCATTAATCTTCTGCGCCACTGTGTTCCCTTCATGTCACTTTATCCCACACACACACATATTCTGTCTACCTGTCACTATTGTTCTGATTTAATTAATCTTTTTCCACTGCTCAGAAATCAATTGACATTTTTCAAATTTCTCCTTGGATGCTAAAAAAAAATCATTTGGAATTGGACTGCATTGGCAGAGTGAGCCAAAGAGAAACAGATTCTTAACAGATTAACAGAGTTGGAAAGGACCTTGCAGGTCATCTAGTCCAACCCCCCACCCAAGCTGGAGACCCTACCAACCATTTCTGACAAATGGCAGTCCAATCTCTTCTTGAAAGCCTCCAGTGATGAAGCTCCCACAACTTCCGAAGGCAACTTCTGTTCCATGGGTTGATTGTTCTCACTGTCAGAAAGTTCCTTCTCATTTCTAGGTTGAATCTCACCTTGGTCAGTTTCCATCCATTATTCCTTGTCTGACCTTCAAGTGCTTTGGAAAATAGCTTGACCCCCTCCTCTCTCTGACAGCCCTCAAATATTGGAAGACTGCTATCATGTCTCCCCAGTCCTTCTCTTCACTAGATTAGACAAACCCAATTCCTTCAACCCTTCTTCATATGTTTTAGCTTCCCGACCTCTAATCATTTTTGTTGCTCTTCTCTGTACTCTTTTTAGAGGTCAACATCTGTTTTTATATTGAGGTGACCAAAACTAGATGCCATATTCCAAGTGTGGCCATATTAAGGCTTTATGAAGCGATACTAATACTTGACATGTTTTTGATTCTACCCCTCTATTAATGTAGCCTAGGATTGCATTGACTTTTATTTTATTTTTTTTTATTTTTTTTATTTATTTATTTTAATTTGATTTATATGCCACCCTTCTCCGGAGACTCAGGGTGGCTTACAATGCTTTAAGCAGTAGCCTTCATACTTTTGTATATATTTATACAAAGTCAGCTTATTGCCCCCACAACTTGGTCCTCATTTCACCTACCTTAGAAAGGATGGAAGGCTGAGTCAACCTTGAGCCTTGGAGAGATTCGAACCAGCAGTAAATTGCAAGCAGCTGTGTTAATAACAGGGTGCGTAGACCACTGTACCATCAAGGCCACACATTGTTGGCTCATTTTTAAGTGATTGTCCAGTAGGTCTCCAAGATCCCTATCGCGTTGAGCCACATTTGACCTGGTCTGCACTTTTTACAGTCGGTTTTCTTTGCCTAAGTGTAGAGCCTTACTTTTCTCTAAATTGAATTTCCATTTTGTTAGACTAAGGCCCAGTGTTCAAGACTGCCAAGATCCATCTGGATTTTGAGCCTATCTTCTGGGGTGTTGGCTATTCCTGTATCTCCATGCCTTTCCTAGCCAAAATATGCAATTTAAGGACAGGCTGACTCCTCTCCTCAAAGTTTAATAGAAGGAAATGCTACATGGAGCAGATGGCAAGAAAGAACAAGGTGTTTTTGTCAGAAGAATTTGCCTTTCCTTGCAAAGATTGGGTTTCCTTGGCAGCCCTACTATATTTGAAAAGTGACAGCCGTCCAAGTAATGATGACAGGCCAACTCTTAATCTCCCCAGCTCCTGGGCCCGATTTATTTAATTTCTTTTGCACAGCAGAGATGGGTTCAGCAGAAATTCAGTGTTGCTTTTCAGTTAGCAGAAATGGTGTGGGTTACAGAGATAATTGAGATAATGAGCTTCATTCTCAAAGGCAGATAACTCCCTGAATTGACATTTATTGCCATTTCTCTCTCTTTTCCTTCTCCCACAATCT